TGGTTCTCGACTAACTAAGTACTGGTCAAATGCTTTCTCAGTAATCTATTACGCGTTTGCCAATAGAAGTGGGTTTTTTAAATTAGCCCTTTCGACTCATACCCAAATGAATATCGTCGGCTTTTTTGATAAAATAAAAATTTGTCTCCAATGATGCACTCAATCGTACTAAATAAATACGGCTTTGCTAATAGAAAGAAAAATCTCATTAGTCCATAATAACGACGAGCATGCTAATTAACGAATAGGAAATACGAATCTAGCGAGAGTACAGTTTTATTTTACAAGTGACTCAATTGGAGCACACGGTGAGCTGACAATTGCCGTATTGGTAAGTCGAATCTTTACGCTACAATAATTTACTAATTCTACTTGCTAGCATTTGATTGTTGTTAGTGACATTACGACAATTTCCTTTTAAACAGAATTTCTCGCTTTAATGCATATAATCATGTTTGAAGTTAACAATTCAGAAGCGGGTTTTCATTCCGAGGAACAATTTCTTCAAGTTTCTTTCAGACGTTTTTTAATTTCTCCTTTGTTCCTCATAAATACCTATTTTTKTTTGTCAATAGTAGCTTTTTTCTTTCTTATTTTCGCGGAATTCGAGAGAAATTCAAATTGGCCGGAAATCTATTAACTTGAAAGTCGATTTRTATATAGAAATTCGTGGGGCATATGACTCCGTTAAAACACCTTTCAACCTGTCAAAAATATTGTAATGGTATAAGAAGGGAGGTTGAATATGTGAAATATGGCGTGCAAATTGACAGAACATCTCTAGATCTTAGACAGTTAATGCGATATAAAAGTGTCAGTTTGCCATAGCATAGAATTAAAACTGTGATATGTGATCTTAAATTTTAGTTAAATCCATCAGTCAATAAAAGCTGAACTGAATAACCACTCATATACTACTAGATTAACGGCTTACGGCTGACAGTAGCTTGCGCAACGCTGGTAGGTCGAAAAGCACTGCGCAATATCGTACTGAGAAACCCTATAGAAATGATTGAAACAGTTGAGACGATTAAAGGCCAAAAAGCAGAACTTTTGCCTACAGATATCGCATGCAATCTTCGCAAATCGTCTTTAGTAACCTGGCTACAACTGTCATAGAGATTCAAAATTGATCGTTTTCACCCATTCCCATAAGATTCAAAAAATAAACTGAGATAAAAGACCAGCGGCCATGTTGGAGGAATGAACCATAGATACTCATGAGAAATCCTTTGTTAAAGTTCCTCCAAGATGGCCGCTGTGACGTAACCTGAAAATGAAGAATAATGTTTTAATAGTCCTACAACAGTTGTAGGCATGTTGTAAGAATGACTCAGGCATGCTACATGCGACGGACTTCTAATATGGCCTAAGTTGACTAGAATTATGATAGCCACCCAATCACATCAAACTCCGGCTATAGTGATTGTTCCTGGAGCCGCGACGCGTATCTTGAAATGACTTTTTTGTTTTCTCGTTAAATTTGGCTTTTATGTAAAACTCAAATTTTGTCTTCGGTTTGAAAATGCAAACTCCCGCGGAGCCACTATTTATGACAAGTTTTCAATWTTTTTATTCTTTATTTTTTTCCACAAATTTTGGTGTTTCGATAGCCAGCAGATTTCTAATCGACAATTTGTGGGTGAATAATTTGTGCCCAGGTGTAAATACCCATCTAGTGTTGGTAGGCAGTTCACCATAGCATCGCTAGATAACCAATAACCAACGAGACATAGGCACAGCTTCCGTTATACAATTGATCGTATTTTCTGGAACAACACAATTGTCACATTGTCACATTGATTCCTGTGATAAATGTTGGTCCGGTTGTAATCGCATTGGTGGTTAAAGCCCTGTATTGTTCGGTAACAATCTAGAGCGTGCTAATCCCTTTAAGCCCTACTATTGTCAGTTACTACAAAGAAGTAGCGTTTTCAGAGGAGGTTCTAACGGTTCCCGTGACTCCCCTTTCTAATCAAACCAATTTGAAAAAACAATACAGAAATATGACTCATGATACATTTTGAAGACTCGTTTAGACTAAAATTATGCGTATTTCCTTCGGGCTTTAAAGAATAGATCTCTATGACGTCATTTTGATGTCATGTGACGTCAGAGTTAGAATTTTGTAAGAATCCATAACTAGCCATAGACATGACCTTGAAAGAAAATACTTTGAAACTCTGCCTGAAATATCTTTAAGTTGTTTTATTTTATTCGTCTGGATCGTATTACTGAACTGAACATGGATCAAACGACTGGCAGTCAGACAAATGGATGAAAATTGATCTAATGGCTTCTAATGTAAATATAGTTAATTATAAAAGACTGTCTTAAGGGCGAATAGCCAGGAGGCAATAAGGATCATGAGGCAATCTTKTTCCGCTGCTAAAGGACTCGTGACAGAAATAAGACGACTAGTCTGATAGAGACAGTGACTGAGAATACTTGATGAGGGTTTAAGCGATTGAAATATACTAAAATGTCTGGCGTTTGACAAGTGAGATGCAGACTGAAGTCCACATTCTGAACAACACTAAAAAATTACAACTAAAAAATAAAAAAAATAAAAATAAAAAGCAAAACAACAACAACAACAACAAAGAAACAAACAAATCAAAAAACAAGAAAGAAACTGCTAAAAAAATCGATGTCAACAGCAGCAAAGGAGAATTGACAAGCAAAACAACAAATGATTAAGAAACACCTATAAATAATTAAAAAACACCTAAAACAAACAAAAACAAGAAACAAAACAGACAATCAACAAAAAAGCCTGGAAATCTGTCTGCTGCAAGTGCTCTTCCTCTCGTTAACCATCCTCTCGTCTTGCAATTGCAGTTACTAATGCTTGTTCTACAACTAGGCTATTCTATGACACACCGTTATGTTCACATCAGTAATTACAATACATTACCGGGGCGTAGGGAATTCGAACTGTTTTTTTTATTTTGTGATCTTGTAAAATAACTTATATACTGAAAATAAAGAAAAAGCAAAACAACAACAGCAACAACAAAGAAACAAACAAATCAAAAAACAAGAAAGAAACTGCTAAAAAAGTCGATGTCAACAGCAACAAAGGAGAATTGACAAGCAAAACAACAAATGATTAAGAAACACCTATAAATAATTAAAAAACACCTAAAACAAACAAAAACAACAACAAGAAACAAAACAGAAAAACAGCAAAAAAGCCTGGAAATCTGTCTGCTGCAAGTGCTCTTCCTCTCGTTAACCATCCTCTCGTCTCTCAATTCCAGTTACTAATAATTGTTCAGTCTACAACTAGGCTATTCTATGACACACCGTTATGTTCACATCAGTAATTACAATACATTACCGGGGCGTAGGGAATTCGAACTGTTTTTTTTTTTTTTTTTGGGGGGGGGGGGGGGGACATATATAAAAAAAGATCGAAGAATCGTATATTTTAATATTTTTCCTCCAATAAACAATTTTATCATATAATTATCTATGAAATACCTATATTTCTCCATTACGTAAAATTGATATTTTCACTAGTGAAGATAACATGTTATTTTCACTAGTGAAAATAACACATTCGAGGTCTCTCTATATAGTGGAAGAAAGAAAAAAGGTATTTTACAACATAATTTGCTTTCATATTTAATTATATGATAAACAGAATATTACATGGTCGCTTKGAGATACGAATTTTATCTTCTCGTGTTGAAAATCTCTCGTTCGCTACGCTCACTCGTGATAGATCTTTTGAACACTCGAAGATAAAATCCGTATCTCCGCGCGCCCATGCAATATCCTCTATTTGTTCTATTTGGTAAAATATTTTGGTCGACAGGCACCCTCCAACACTGTGCTCCACTCCTTTCACTAGTGATATATTATTTCAGTATATTGTTCTTTCTACTTCAGATAGATCGAAATCACATTCTGAATATCATATTTATATATAAGAAAATGATGGCTCGAMCTGYGGTGAATAAATTTGTAAGGAATTGTAACCGTCGCTGTGAAATGATAATAATCCCGAAGTGATTATCATTTCACTGTGATGATCTCTCAATTCCTTACAAATATTTATATATACAGCATTATGCAGAAATTATTATCTTATTTGCTCATGTTTCAAGTATAAAATATATCAAAAATTATTGGATATCATCATCGCAAATAATTTTTTTCGTAAAGTACTAGTGCTAGACAACTTATTTCTGATATATTGTATATATACTTGGAATATGTCTAAAAACGATCATAATTTCTGCATATTGCTTAGTACTAGCTGTAGTATATATAAAATATATTGATTCTGATGTTTTTATCATCTTTGCAATCAATGTCTTATTCTTTTTTTTCAAACTCCTTGAACGGGCATACTTGATTTGGAGCATCTCTCTCTGTGTTGTGCGTCACACACCATCCTGTGGTCTGACTGCATTATTGTATGTATTTTATATACTATGTAATATTTTTTATCCTTTATTGTTTTGATTTTGGAAGCTATTAAACAAACAAGGATAAAAGGAAATAAACAAGCGTTAAAAAAAGAAAAAAAATGACAATAACAGTAAAATAAACTAAACAAAAACAAAGAGATGATACACAATAAAAGAAGCTAAAATTGAAACAAAATGATAAAAAACGAAGAAAATTTTGTCAATTATTCAAACAGAGGATTTAAGATACAATTTCACCCAATATTGACAACATTTTTTAGTTCCTCTTAAAATTCGTTATTTCTTACACGTTTATCGAGATCATGGTTTAATGTTAACTATAGTGATACCGGAGCGGCCGAGATAAGATTTATTGACCATAAAGTGGTAAATGTAAGCACAATAGAAATTCAAGTGCGTTTAGATATCAAACGGCACTTTGTGGTTTGTCCGCTAAAATGTCGGTTGGTCTTTTCGTTGTTATTATTGTCACTAATTTGCTCCATTGTATCAAACTCCGCCACATTTGTCGATTTCGACATGTTTAATTTGCAGTAAGTTTTTCCCCTTTTTGACCATATAAACTGCGTTTTTTCTTTGCTTATTTTTAGCTTCATACTCTGATAATACCCGAGAATGTCTAATGACGGTATAAGATCTTAAGAAATACTTTGACGCTAAAAAGCCTAAATACCTCACGTACGAAGAAAAAAAATAATTGACAATTTACCTAAAGAATGCATCAATGGCTTGAATTCAATATCACAGCATACTTAAGCAGAGCGGAAACATTTCTAAATATAAAACAACAAACTTCAAGATTTTAGGTCTGGCATTGGGGTTCGTTTCACAATAATTAATGAGAGTTTTTGGCTAAGCCCCATCAATTAACTTCAAGATTGTTTTGAAAATACGGACCTTCAGAAAGAAGCCAAACGGAAAGCCGTTATGATAATGTATTGCGGTATATTAGGTTAGCAGATTATATATTCTACTGTTAGCATACTTGGAGGTGAAGCCGACAGTACTCGCTTTCCACAGCACAGCATTAATACAAGGTTTGTTACATGAAAATTCTTTTTTTGGGTATTTTATATCTATAATGTATCTATTTTACTAAGCACTAGTTACATGCGGGGGGCAGAGAAAATGGACAACCAACTAAATAACAATAAATTTCAAATCATTTGTTAAAAAAGCTTTCAGTGACATCTTTAGATGGTTGAAATACCATAGGTTGCCTCGTGGTGGTCTACAAAGTAAACGTTTTTCTTACGTGAATCAATGTTTATAACTATMAAGAACCTGAACTTTTCTAGAGAACGTTTGCTACAGTAACGGAAATTATCTATTTGTTAGAAAAAAGCACGACAAGCCACCTGACTATTAAGCGATGTAAAGAATTGAGAACTGACTCAAGGACTGAAAGCAATGACAAGATATTTTGGAAACGAGATTTCATATGGTCATACTACTTCTATCGAACTAAGAATCGCTCACACATGTGTGTGTACAAACTGCGTCTGCTATCTTTGTCAAAAAAATACATTTGTGCATAAGTTCGCGTGCACGACGTTAGCACCGAGCTTTTGCCGTGCAGCACGAACCTACTGTTTATTGACTAACTCACGAGTCGAGGTGTCCATTTGCCTAATTCAAAATATTTCCCTCGGCGAGACGATAGCACGCTGCCTTTTAATCCTACAAATTCTCTGTAAATTTCTTTACAATGGAAATCCATACTTTTAAATCGTATTAACGTCATTGTTTTTTTGCTGGCACGACATACAATGGCTGGCTCTTTTTAGCAAAAACTTCAAGGATACTTTAACACGTCGAAAACAAAAAGATAATTAAAAAAAAAATACATATATATATATATAAAAAATAAAAATAAACGCTTTAAATTGGAAAAGCCTATACTTGAGTGTTCATTTAGTGTCTATGTTACCCACGCATGTCCTTGAACATCATTGCTTTTACCATCTTCCTTACTAATTAAAATAGCCGTCGGACTGAAGGCTTTTAATGTTTCAAGTAAGGTATCTGCTCAAACTATCGGCACTTATTGGTTTTTAGTCATTTTTCCAGTTTTAAGAAAAGCTATGATTATTCTGATTGTTTTAGTTACGGTAGCAGCTCTAAAAAAGAAAACTATGTAGGATGAAGAAGTATAAATATTTCTTAAAACTGCATATATTTGAAACATTCGAGTTTAGCAAATTTGCAGGCTGTAACGAGATAGATCGCAGGCTTACGAGCATATACGGGGGTTAAATAAAAGCTTTAGTCTTTACAAGTAATTTGTTTTGGAGAGATTATTTATGACGTTAAACTAATTGGTTAGCAACATTAGTAAAGCGAAGTGCATTAGGGCGGAAGATGGTTAGTGAGCACCAACCAGAGTAACATTAATAGCTTGAAATATCAAGGAAAGGCTGTTCTATTTGCTCTTTAAATGGTTAGAACTACACGCCCTTAGAAAACGATGATCGGATTTGTCTCTCTTCTGCTAGATAAGAAAAGAGGTCGAAGAGGACTTTGCGTAGGTATTTAAGACCGCTCTTTCTAGAACGCTTATAAGCTATGGATATCAAAGTCATACGCCATTTAGCTGCCAGTCCCCGCTTCAATATACGGACAATATAAATGCTATAAGGCACCCCTATAAATACCACAGATCTGAAGGCGAAGCTTATTCTATGGCATTCTATCAAAGACGATCCTAGTTCAAAAATCCAATGAAATAATGTTCTTGACGTTTGTACTATTATCTGTTTACGTACAGAGCGCTAATCGCAGGTACTTTTCAGCAATTTTTCATATCAGAAAAAGCTACAACAATGGMACTTTAAAATCAAAGAACTGACTTCGTACAAAAGCYCAATAAAGATTTCAAGTGCTCTATCGGTTCCCTTTTGACAAAGCAATCACCACGAAGTGAATGACATTCGACTTCCTAGTTAGCTAGAATAAATTCAAACCAGCATCAGTGAATCTACGCCATATATAGATCAGTACTCYTAGTAGAGCTTAGAGGGATTAACACTTCCAACACGTCCAAAGCTGCAACAGCACAATAGTCCATTATCGATACTTTCTTTCATAAGGAGTTATTTCCTAACATAAAGATAATTGAGAGTTCATTATGCAGAGGTTGTATCAACATCGTATTTGGTATTTTTGGTGATAAAGTTATTGTTATTATTTATTGTGGTATAGTTAACAAAATATCAAACACGTTGAGGGGATTCAAACAACAATTTGATAAAAAGATGGCTGCTCTAGACACGATAAAAATTTGCTTTTTAAACAAACACAAACCATATGTGAGTAAAAAAAGGAAATCGAAAAACTTAACAGTTGTGGACTAAAATACAATTTTTTTCCTTTTAAAGCTTTATAGATTAAGTGTGTTCGCTCTAGTGTAGAAGAAAACAAAGGAATTCTCACAATTCAGAACAATTTAGAACCATTTACTAATTGATAAAGTTTTCATGGTTTCAGGGTTTGCATGCTACTCCAGTTAAGGGCCGAATTAGACGCACAACGTTTAACTACAACCATCGCTTGCAGCCTGCGTAAGTTATCATTACAAAATAGCTACAACTGTCGTAGGGTTATTAAATGATTGTTTAAAATCCTATCAACAGTTTTACCTATGTTGTAAGAATAATGTAAGGTTGTGCCGTCTACTGAATTCGGCCTTAACACAGTTTCGACAATTCTCATAAAATTGACAAATCTCATGCAATAGTTTTTTTTTCAAAAACGCTTTTTTAAAAAAAGGGCTTAAAAGAGATTTTAAAATAGGCATTTTTTATGAAATGGTCACATGGTAATAAATCCGCCATACTGATTGGCAAAAGAAAGTAAATTCAACTCAAAAACAAAATGAACGCAGACCGTCAAACTCGACTTTTCTTTGTTTGAACATCACAGTGGGTGGGAATTGGAGGATGTAGTACCACGCGACCGTTTCATGCAAAAAGAGACTGTCTCAAGGTGTATTGTTTGGCCAGTCTAAGGCTATGGCTATACGCAGAATACTTGTTTGTCGAATCAGATTCAAGTTTCTATTGTTCAGTTTCAGCAAAGTATTCACATGGCACTAAATTAAAACTTCGAATTCTTTCCAAACCCCCTCCCCCTTTTTAGGAAAYCCCCGATTTGGGAAATGCCTGTGCGTTTTTATTAAATATAATATCATAATTTGTATCATAAGAAAATACTAATCGAATGTGTTTTACTTTAAATAAAATCTGTGAATTAAAGCCCATAAACGAAAACGTTTCATCTCTCAAGATCTAGACTTGGCAGAATCTATAGTGACGGCCACCAATTTCAAAATTTCTGGATCCGCCCCAGTTTTTACCTTGAGCTACTATTTGGAACTAAACACAACGCTTTTAAAAAAAGTCGAAAAGAATTACGTTCGACAAATGAAATTCAGTGTCTATACGTAGGCCTAGGCGTCAATCGGGAGTAAAAATTGAAAGATTTAAAACAATGTAACCTGTTTAAAGGCCCATGTTCAAAACTCAGGCGTTGCTCGCGCGACGATCGCCGTGAGAATCGCTCTGCAAAAATCGCAAGTGTAAACGGGCCTTAAGAGTGAAGTCAAAAAGTTTAACTATTAATAGAAAGAGTGACAGTCAAATATGCATAAAAGAAAACAATACAATCAGAGCTTACTAAATTATAGCATACCTATTTCATTACATTAGACTACATTTTTTTTATTTTATATTATTTTATCATTTCATATTTTTATTTTATCATTTCATATTTTTACTTTATTTTATTTTATATTATTATAATTTCATTAATTTATAGTATTATACCTATTTCATTTTTTACATCACTCTATCATTGTTTTTGTCTGTTCATTTGAAGACAATGGGTGGCGGATACTAATCGCTCTCGTGGAATGCAGTTTTTATTGTTTAACATCTGTAATCAATAAGCACCAGGAGTACTGGTTTGATATGCGCGCAAACTCAGTCGGCACCCGCTGTGACCATAATCAGCAGAAAYTGCAAAAAATAATAATGAAAACATAAMACAAGTACTGTACGTGCTSCAAAACAACGCACCTGCTGAGCATTTTACAGACCGTTGAAGTTAAGTGTGAAATTTGTCGAAAAACAAAGAAAACTGTACTCGCACAAAAATAAAAAACAACTACTTAGAGTACAGGAAAAAGAAAAAAAAAGTAAATTGTTTTCTTATCTTTTCACTCACGTATACCCTGTATTTCAATTACATGCTGTCGCTGAATAAGAGAAACATTATTAAAGGCCAAGATTTGAAGATTTTTTCATAAAATAAGTTTAATATTTTACGGTTTTGGTAAAAATGGGAATATTTAAGACTTTTGTTGACTTTGGAACCTTGGCCCTTCAGGACGTGTAGGAAATTCATCTTATCATTCTTTAATAAAGACTTCAATAAATCGTATATTCACCATTGTCACTTATTGTCTGGTTCAAAGCGGATAACCGCTGACTAATTTGACTTCGGGCATTCTTRCCAATCTTACAATAGACCAAAAATGTGCGCTTTCTCCGAAATATCTGAATATATTCCTAATAATTTAGGAATGTAGACTTAGTGTCCACTCTATGAAGATGCTTATACCCCATTTTCGAATTGAAAGCAGATAACCGCTGTTTTATATGACAG